CCCCCCCTCCCCCCCTCGTAAAGACTAAATCTGTAAAGGCAGCGATTTGACATCCATCCTAAAGCAGCGGCTATGGGGTGTTTGGGCAACAGCAAAACGGAGGATCAGCGTATCGATGAGAAAGCGCAGCGAGAAGCCAACAAAAAAATAGAGAAGCAGTTGCAGAAAGTAGGCTGGCTTATAAAGCGACACACCGCTTGCTCCTGCTGGGTAAGGAGGAAGGGGGCAGAGGTGGGGGGGCCGGGGAAGAGGAGGGCGAGGAGGGGGCAATCTGCCCCGGCCCGCTCGGGCGGCAGCCGAGAGGGGGAGACGGTCCGTGTGCCTCCAGGTATGGAAAAGGCATGGAAAAGGCAGGCTGTTGTCTGGGGCAGTGTGCGAGAGCTCCGCAGACCCAGCCACATGGATGCGTGCATACAGCAGCGCCGGCGGAGGTGGGAGATGCTGCCGCGTCCGGCCCAAACCACCCCGAAAACCCACCCCAACCCCCCATCCTGAACCGTGTGTCACAGCGTTGTCCCTCTCCTTCTTTCTCTTTTAGGGGCTGGTGAGTCAGGAAAAAGCACTATTGTGAAACAAATGCGAATCCTACATGTCAATGGATTTAATTCAGAGTAAGAATTATTGACACTTTGTGACTTGTTTTTTCGTTAAATGTTGGAAACAGGTTAAGGCACGGTGGGCTGGGCAATGTCTCCTCTCATCCCCTGTGTTTTGGGGGCTCGACACTGCGTTTTGGGGGAGGGAGGGGAGCGAGCATAAGGAAATTACTGCTATCGTATATTTGCATTTTCTCCTTCTGGCCCCTTTACAGTATTTTACACTGTTGCTACTGCAGCGCTTGACAGGCCCCTGTGTAGCAACAACATGGCGACTACTTTTTACATCGAAGCAAATAACTAAATATTGCATCTGCCTGTAACACAGAAATACATGTCAAGTCATATTCACGGTGACAGCGGCTGCTGTCTTTCCGGTCTTGGGGTTAGTGCAAAACTGAAACTGATTTTGCACGTTTTTTAGAAATCATGCTGTTTTCTGAGGCTACATCATTTTCTCTCAGAAGAACCGTTCGCCAGAAATTGTTATTAACCCGTAGCGTTAATGTTAGATATCTGTTGGCCCTCAACTACGTGTTATTAATTTGGATCATGTTTACGGCGTGCTGTACAAATGAAAGAATGACTTCCAGTTCCATCAGGGGAGGCTTTGCAGATGTGGCTATGATTGTCTGATCTAAAAAAAAAAAAAAAAAATTAGCGGGATGAGTGTGCATTGCTCTTCATACTATGGGAGAGAAAAGGGATGAGAGGAAAAATAGAATTGTCTCGCTGTTCTTTTCAGTTAGCATGTTGTAATGATTGAAGAGCAGATAAACAAGTGATGGGGGGAAAAAAATAAATGCAACTGACTGAATTGCCTTGGAAGAAAAAAATCAAAGATAATGTTTCTGTTTTACTGCAGAGAAAAGAAACAGAAAATACTGGATATTCGGAAAAATGTTAAAGATGCGATTGTGGTAAGAACACACTTTATGCTCTTCTTAAATGCTGGGGTGTACTGGAAATGAGAAGGGTTGTGCTTCCCAAGATTGTGCTGAGACCAATCCCATTTTGCTGATCAGATTGGATTATCTTCTATTGATCCTGTATCCTAGATTTATCCAGATTAATGCGTTTGTTTTTGTTTTATCCAATTTTAGACTATAGTTTCAGCTATGAGCACTTTAATACCCCCAGTTCCATTGGCCAACCCAGAAAACCAGTTTCGAATGGACTACATCAAGAGTATAGCTCCTCTTTCTGACTTCGACTATACACAGGTAGGAACAGAAACCACTGATTAATTCTGCTTTGAGGGGAAATGTGCTGCTTGACTCTGATTTGCTGAAATGTTGTTGGTTTTTTTGCTTTATGGAAGGTGGTCATGGGAAGAGCTTATGCCAGCACTGCCACTGGATTAACTTTTTTACAAGACTGGTGTGGTGGCACCTGTTCTAGTGGTGCAAAGTTCTAGTGTTGTTGATTTATTTGCTGCTGTTGGTAAATGCTGTTTCTGCATTTAGTTCTTCTCTTAAACATTTCTGATGTAATTATATATATTGACACTTCAAATAAGACTGTTGAAAGCTGGTTTCCTACATAGAATTAGATGCAGGATGTCAGTCTGAAGAGTTACAGTCTGCCTACAGAAAAGGATACAAAAGAAAATAAAAAGGTAGAGTGGCCCCAGTGGTGTTTTCCATACCTACTGCACTTTGGAGTGGAAACATGCATAAATGGCGCCCAAGGAGGGCGGTTTGCTTCCTTATGTATTTGTTGTAGTTGGCATGAGCAGTGGTTTACCTGCATGTTACTGTTGCCACCTTTTTGATATGGAATTGTCAGGAAATGAAGGCTATCTGCATAGAGGCTACTCTTTTGTAGGCAAATGAGAGAGACCTTTCAGATGAACTTGCATCTTATCTTTGATTAGTTTTATCTTTTGATGTTGTTATTTATAGGAACCTGCATAGAAGGTTTTGTATTTCATGCATGACGTGAAAGCAAGTGCATAGACATTCTGAATATTACAAGGAATTTTATTTTTGCAGTAGCACAGTTTTTAATTTGCCTTAAAATGATACTGAGAGCAATTTGTTATGGATACGGTAAGGCCTAAAAAAAAATCCTCATTCATTGGCTAAATGATGCGAGTTGTTCATGCTATCAATATTACCAAAGAAGCCATTTACAATAGAGTGTCTTTAGGTTATTATAGCTTCAGGGTGGAAGGGGGAGAAGGGGAAGAGTCGTTTCTTTATTATATGACTCATACTCTCTGGTGTGTGGTTTTGCCTCTGGTAAACCTACCACTTTCAAGGTTCAAGATAAAGGAAAAATATCAGACATCTTGTACAGATAGAATTTAACACAGAATGCAGATGTTAAGAAAACGACTGCAAGGTACACCCACATATTGCATAATTGCTCAATTGGTAGATGGAAGTTAGAGAAAATGAGAAACACTTTTTAGAAATGGAATGGGAGTTTGACATGAAATATTTGGCTTACGCAGGTATTACCGGTCTGAGGCATTTGTTGCTCATTTTATCTTTTTTTTTTTTTTTCTCTCTCCTTGAATTTGGCTCTTGTTTGTTTGGAAGAATAACTGGTGGCATATATCCTTCGCAATTCTTTATAGTGCATCTGCTTTCCTGAGTTTCTGGGGTAAAAGAAAACTGAAGTGTACTTTTCCGAAGTCTGGAGATACTTACTTATTTATTTTATTGTTTTCAAAATTTCTCCTTTTTCGTGGAAACTGACTGTATCTGGTCAAATTTGATTCACTGTTTGGTATTTTATAGAGGGGGGGAAAACACACTCTTCTTGGAGGGGAAAAAGACTAGAGCCTAGTGGACTATGAAACAAGTAATAATTCATTTGAGATCTCGAGTCAAAGTTCATTTTGGTTTAAAAGGTGTAAAAAAAAAAAAAAAACCAAAACCCACTCAGTTTTAATTAAGTAGGATAATAATAATTATTAATACCATTACATTATTTGAAATAGTGTCAGATGATAGTTCTAATTAAAATAAAATAAAGTTGTTACAAGCTTATAAAGAGAAGAAAAATCTAGTGCTGGTTTAGAAGTAAATATACTTTATGTGTCATTTTCATCTATTTCCTCCTCTGCTCAATTCATAGGTTTAATATTTGTAAAATGTATCATCTGGCTAGACACCTTTTAATTATACCCCCTCCCCCACCCCCCCCCAATTTTTGTTGGTTTAGTTTGATGTTTCTCTCCAGGATGATATGTGAGCAAGAGAGATTGGGAAAAAAATGCGCTATTGTGCTTCAGGGCTTGATTCTACTCCCGTTTAAGTCAATGATAACTTAAAATAAAATTACTTTTCCAGCTGAAATAACTTTTGACCCATTTAGTATTTTTGGATAAGGACAACTATAAATACTTGGATAGTAAACAGTTACGCATCCTTTACTAAGCATTACTGATTCCTTAATTAATAGCTGCTGTATGGAATAAGGCCTTCTGAGCCAGAGAAACCAATACAGTGTTTGGTACCAGACATTCAGGACTTGCCGTTCTGTGGTCTGTGCCTAAAAAGAGTTGTAAAGGAAAAAATACTGACTTAAGCAGCGCTTAGGTGTTGCCTCTGGGATAAATTTTGGCACATCCTAAAACATGACAAAGGTTACTCTCCTTCCTTTGAATGAGGGAAGAGGCAGTTTTAGGGTTTTTTACAATGTGGATGGTAATGAGCTGTTAAAAAACAGCCCTTAGCGCTGCAATATGAATTACAGATGTGTTATGTTTTGGATGATGTTAGCCATGTAATCTGTCGTAAAAATTGCTGTATTTTACTTGAACATGTATTTCAAAAACAGTGCAGTTGTTTTCCCACAATTTGCCTGCAATGTATCATGAGCCTCTAAAGAGAGATCCCTGATGGAATGCAAAAACTTCAGTGATGGTACAATATGGCCAGCACTCATGAGGCACTAATTTAAATATATTTGTCACATATTGGGTATGCTTGGATATGCATTCTTCAATTGCATACAAATTAACTAATATGCATTTAATTGTGAAAACTGTCCTTTAAAATAAGTGGACTTGAAAATACTGATTTCCTGTGGGTGAAATCATACTCTAATTGCAATTTATGACTGAAATTCCAAGAACTTGAGTAAGGATGGGATTCACATTTAGACTCAGATATGTATTTTTGGTCTTTGGCTGGTGGTGGTTTTTTTTAATTACATAGCTCTTTACAAAATATAAGCAGAACATCTTACTTAGCAGTGATACAAATTTTAAAACAAATGGTTTTCTCTTTGCAGGCTTTTGACATTCCTTTTAGAGCCTGTGGATTGCCCCCCCTCCCCCCCGCCCTGTGGTTTTACTTATTTTTAAAAAATTATTCTTTAATTTGGTTTTATTTATGCTATCTTGATGATTTATATAGTTGATATAAAACAAAATCAAGGGTTTCTTGATTTGTTTTATAATAAGTATGTTGCCCTTCACTACTTTTATTAAGACTGCAATTCTTACCAAAATTTTCCTAGGTGAGTGGTGCGGTCTTAATTTCATAAATCATAAGATTTAAGGCTGGAGTTTTTACAAAGTAAATAAATGTCAATAAAGCAAGTGTCCACTGTAGTTTCTTCCTTGAAGTATGAAAGGAATCAAGATAAATTTTCATCTGCTGACTAGTTTAGGTGCTATCTTAGCTCCATATTCCAGGGTGGAATCAGCAGAAGGGCTTTAAAACTGAAATGGAAGCACGCACGCTGTATCGGAAAGGATTTTTTATTATTTTTGGCAAAGTGTTAATTGATATTTGCTAAAGTTAACAGGAATTGACCTGTGCCATTTTTAATCCTCTATTGATGGGGATTTATTTTGTCCTTTGTGAATCAGAGTGAGCATATTAAGGGCATATTATGCTGGTAGCTGTGGAAAAACAGGGTGTATTATGTAAGTGTGTGTTTACTCAAGTTCAGTTGTCTTTTTTCAAGTATTTGAATTTTGTGGGCACTACAAAGTTTCTCAGTGCATAATTCCTTTACCCTTTGTCTTCTTCAAGCTGTAGTCAAACGGAGTTGCTTTTCATAATACATATCTTGGATCAAGCTCACCTGATCAGTTATGTGTGGGTATATAGCAGATAGGCAGTTAGCTATGACCAGACTATATGGTCAGGCGCTTTGCTATACGAACCAGTTACCAGTGAACGTGAATCATTTCCTTAACAAAGAATATGTGCACACCCAGGTTTTGGGGAGCGGGGCAAGTTTTCAAAAGATTGGTTTTCCTTTGCTAAGAATGTTATTAGGGAGGCAAAGTGTTCCCGTGAACCTTCATGAAACCGTGAATTGTGCAAATGTAATCCCTTATACGCATTTTAGAATGTGAGTTTTAAAAATAATTTTTAAAGCTATTTTCTCAATCAGGCAAGCTCTTTAGGTCTTGAAAGTGTAATGTTAATGTTGGCATTGACAGGGAAACTGCTTTAGATTAATCTGGTCTGTGGTTTGCTTTACATTATCAGATACTGCAGTTTGAATTCAATTTGATGACTTCAGTTTTCCTCCACGTTTTCTTCTTAAGAGTCAGGACTTTGTATTCGTAATGTAAAGACACAAGAAAGAAAGAAAGAAAAATATTTCTGGTTAGAATTTGAAGTTCAGTAGACTTTTGCTAGGCGTTTCAAATTTTTCTTAGGCCCAGTATTCAAATTCGAACTCGTGTTGACACCTGGTGATGGTTCGTTTTCACAGTGTGGGTCTCCATGTCTGAAGTAGCTGGAAATCTTGCTCAAATGAAGTGTATCGCTGTGTTGTTGTCAACCTTTATCCTGAATAAATACTTAAAGATTGAAAGCAGAATAAATATGGTATATACATGGTTAAACTTGCTTGAGTTGTGCAGTTAATGCTCTGATTTTAATATCCTATTTGACCGCAGCGTGTTTAAGTTTCCCTGTAATATGTATGTGATGTAGCCCAAAGGAGTTAACAAAATAACATTATCTCACATTTTTCCGTTTCTGAATAATTCGCAGTGTTTACATATTTTTCAGGAGTGTGAAAGTATACAATGTTTTACATTAAAATACCATAAAAGAAAAGAGATAATATGGTGAATATTGCCACTTAAGTGACTTCACTTGATCTTTCTTTCTATCTTAGATTTTTGCTTTAGGACTTCATTTACCATTTTGGGTAGAATGAACAGCCACCAGCCTTTATAATTACCTGTGATTGTGATATGTAGTGTTACTACAGTGTGAAGTCAAAGTTAACTTTTATAAAA